CCATTTCCTTTTTAATTTCCCTCCGGCTGGAGCATAAGCAGAGAGTCATCTCAATTGAACAGATGCTCTTTGATACATTCCATATGTAATAGCGGCACAGGGAAAGCGCCAGCTGCTTTTATTATGAAATATGTGGGAAGGTTAACTGTACAACAGGCTGATTAAAATGCGATCTGCTAGCATATCACGGCTGAACATTTAGGTTCGGTTGTGAAAATTCGTTGTGGATTTGACGTGCCTTGTACAGCAGTGTATGGAGTCCGGGTGGAAATAGGTTTAGTGGGGAATTGCATCAGCTTATGGTGGCTGCGGTCTCGTTGAGATAAAACAGTGTGTTTCGGCTGTGGTAACCCCAAGGTCCGCCGCGCGCCAGAACCAGTCTGACGTAGAAGTTTCGGCGGACGGCCGGGGGCACTGGGCCAGGAGTCTCTCATAACGGACAGCGTCACTGGTGGCATATAATTTTTTTTTCATTATGGCTGATTGCGATATTATTCAGGTCTGGAAGAAATGCCCATCTGGCACACTAGGTGCTATTTTGTACCAGCTGTTAAACAAATGGCTTACCATACTGAGTTTAAACGAATATGCTAGTGAAACTAAGAGATTTTTGCCATGGTCTGAAAAAATGGTTGAAAAGGGAATGTTCAGTGCCTATGACAAGGCGCCCCCAGAAGAGGGAGCTATAAGACTATATATCAAACAAGCGGCTCACGCAGCGGCAACAGCACGGTCGCACAATGATACAGCGTTGTTTGCTACAAAAACACAAAACAGAAGCTAAAGTTAAACACTGTGAGACATTTCTTCAGGACTGTCTCTGCTTTTTGGCTGAATTTGAGAAAATCCAGAAAAATACAGGCAGTGACAGGGTAGCACGGCTCTGTCTCTCTCCTTCAGTGACACACACATACACAGACACTGATAAGAGCTCACATGAGTTTTGAGGTCACACACATACACAGACACTGATAAGAGCTCACAGGAGTTTCAAGGTCACACACACACACACACACACACACCCACACATATGTAATAGCGCTCAGCATTATCTAGATGGTGTTAAAGCGGGGTCTGTGACACAGGCTGCTGCTACTCCAAGTGAGGAAGTGGGTGCTTCTGGACAGGAGAGCATGAAAAAAAATCGCAAAAAGCGGGTAGTTTTTCAGTAAAAACTCGTAGTTCAACTGATCATAACAGAGGGAAGAAAAAGCATGTCTGTCATGTCACTGTGCCGACTATGAGTGGGGGTGAATCTTCTAGTGACTTTAGTGGTGAGGAGGATAAGGCCTATACTTCTGCTTTGAGACATAAAAATAAAAGCAGAGGCAATATACACGACTGCTTGGAGTGACCTCAAATGCCGCTTCTCCAGATGGAGACACCGCAGGGTGGAGTTTCAATGACGTATACGTCATTCACTCTTCAAGACACGTCACTTATTAAAAAATTCAGCTCCCGCCGTTAGAGCAGGGCGGGGCGCCATGGATCAAGGCATTTCTCACTGCATGCGCTGGCTGCCTGCCAGCTCTGGGTGATTTCAGACGCATATTCACAGCCTATAGTTCTCACAGTATGTTACAGGCAGTTGAAGCCTTGGCAAACACAGATGGAGATGAAGACTCAGTCTCACTTCACACTGTAATACATGACCTCTGGCCTGTGGTCAGGAAGAAGTATGCACTACGAGCCCAGAGTGTCAAGCTGTCTCGTATTCCTCCACAGCCTGAGGAGTCAGGAAGCCAGTATCTCATTAGAGTGCGTGAATTGTGGCATAACTACAGTGGTGAGGACCCTGCATTAGTTGAAAGTGCTGGCTTGTTGTTCCACAGTGCAGTTGAGTCTGCCCTTTCTGTAAATATCCAGAAATTATTGAAACAAGTGATTGGCTTAAGTGCCCTCCCATTTGAGCAGTGGGCAGCTCATATTATGCAGTATGTTGACAATGATAAAGAAGATAGAGAAAAAGATGAACAGGAACTCTCATCTTTACAAGCACAGCTGACAAAAGTACAACTTAAAGAGATGAGAAATAAAGTTAATAGGCTCAATGCTGCACAGCAGATGTACAGTATACACAGCCTTCTGCTGTTTTACACAACGCACAAACACCTGCACCTGGACAGCCGCAGTCCTGCTCTTGCAATACACAACCCAGGAGTGGTGGCTCTCAGAATCAGCTCTATCCTCAGGCCCTGCTGTCTCAGTAACTTGACACTAATTTGGATGCACTGTAGAAGCTGAATGCCTGCAGGGCTCTGTAGACTTCCATGGCAATGGA